GCTCTAATGGGTTCTGATTTTTTGGCATTTTACTCAGTACCTAATTTAATTCTATTTTGCAAACAATAACCTATCCTGGGAGGTTATAAATATTTCAATCCTACAATATACCGAAGTTGCTATTTAGATTGCATATTGTATATTTGGTTTTGCTGTTCTGTGTAATTTTCCTATTGGCTTTGGGACCCTGACGTTAGGACTACATGGGTGTCCTGGGCTCGCATTTGCAAGAAGTTAGAACAGATAAGCTATTTACCCCGAAGTAGCTCAGCCTCCTATTTAGCTATCTCCATCATCCAATTAAGTAATAAGGTTTTTGAATCAGTAGGGGCCACTGAAGGCCACCAAACATTGAAAAGTTGGTGCAGAGATGGGTGCTGCTGAAAGGGCACCTCCTTTCTGATTGTCAAATGCAAAATAGGGCTGTAAGAAGATCAAAGGTTTTATGGTGTGAGACAGGAGATGGAAAGCCCACAATAGTAATGGGTTTTTGAAGAAGGTGAAGAAGGGTCCTGACCTGAAATGTCAACTTTCCTGTTCCTCTGATGCTGCCTGGCCTACTGTGTTCCTCCAGCTCCACACTGTGTTGTCTCTGACTCCAGCATCTGCAGTTCTTGCTATCTTCAACAGTAATGTGTCACCAGTGTGTTTGAGGCTATTTATTAGTTCACTTCCTTCTTCCTCAGTGAAAGGAGCCTTTGGCTCTGATAATCCTCTAGACTACAGCAGGGAGGCTGCCTCCATCAAGTTTGGCAGTCTCTAAAGATGGCAGTGGTGCACTTGGACACTGACAAAATGCTGACCAACCCTGAAAAGTGAGCAGAGGACTTTGAAAATTTGCACAGGGATATAGACAGTTTAAGTGAGTGGGAAAAGGTCTGGCAGATGGGATTCACCCATTTTGGTAAGAATAACAGTAAAAGGGACTATTACTCAAATGGTTAAAAAATTGCAGCTTGCTGTGTGCAGAAGGACCTGGGTGTCCTTGTGCATGAATCTTAGAAGCTTGGTTTTCAGATGCAACAGCTATTTAAGCAGACAAATGGAATGTTGTCCTTCATTGTTGGAGGGATGGAGTTTAAAAGCAGGGAGGTTATGTTGCAGCTGTATAGGGTGCTGGTGAGGCCACACCTGGGGTACTGGGTGCAGTTTTGGTCTCCTTCCTTGAGAAAGGATGTATGGGCACTGGAGGGTGTGCAGAGGAAATTCACAAGGTTGATTCCAGAATTGAGAGAGTTGGTTTATGAGGAGACACTGAGCAGACTGGGATTATATTCGTTGGAATTTAGAAGGATGAGGGTGGATCTAATAGAAACATATAAAATTATGAAGGGAATAGACAAGATGGAAGCAGAGAGGTTGTTTCCACTGGCAGGTGAAAGTAGAACAAGAGGGCATAGCCTCAAAATTAGTGGGACCAGATTTAGGACTGAATTGAGGAGGAACTTCTTCATCCAAAGGGTTGTGAATCTGTGGAATTCCCTGCCCAGTGAAGTAGTTGAGGCTTCCTGATTGAATGTTCTTAAAGCTAAGACAGATTTTTTTGGAACAGTAAAGGAATTAAGGGTGATGGTGAGAGGGTGGGTAAGTGGAGCTGAGTCTATGAAAAGATCAGCCATGATCTTACTGAATGGTGGAGCAGGCTCAAAGGGCCAGATGGTCTACTCCTGCTCCTGGTTCTTATGTTCTTATGAAAATTGCCCCTAATAGGGATCTAACGATTCCAATTGGCTTCCTACACGTGTAGTGTGGACAGCATATCCAGGGGCTATCTTCTCTGGGGAAAGCTCTCTGGCTGTGGAAATACCTTGAGAAACCATCCTCAAGTGGCTCCTCAAATATTTTCCCAGAACACCCCACCACCTCCCAACATTAAGCCCATCACCACTGGCTAGCAAAATTCTGACCATAGTTAAACCTAAAGCCTCACACTACCACCACAGGACAGAATTTCAGATGCAGACAATATCCACAGTTGTACCTACTGCATCATATAATGCACTCAGAAGGAAATGTATCTTACTTTAACATGGAAAACCATGTGAGATCCACTAGCAAAACATTACTTCAAGCTGTAAAGACTTCACGACAACTTGAATGTGACTGCGTGATTCAGTAGTGTCCAATGAGTCAGACATTTATGGATTCAAGTTCTAGTGCAGCAATATTGAGGGACAGGCCCAGGTCTTTTGTTGGCTCCAATGCTAGGTGCATTGCTGCTGCCTGCAGTATCTTCTCTGCTCCAATTATATTATGCATTTTCAGCGAGGTATACCCTGACGCTGGCTGTAGCTGACATGGGCCAATGCAACTTCTCCAAATGAAGGCTAGTGAGGTTAGACAACAAAGAGAGACCTTTCCTTTTAGCAGTAATGCTGTATTCAGGAGAGTTTTTAATGGGCATGTCCATCAATGACTGAGTGAGGTCATCTGGTTGGGGGTAGATTGGTTAGCTTCTAGGGTAATTAGGTTGGATCAGCGGGTATGTGGGTCATGGGGATAGTTGGGTTGGGTGGGGTGGGAAGGCAGTTGGGTCAGTTCAAGTCAAATTGGTTGATTGGGATCAGGGATCATTTGCAGTGCTCACTTCAGCCACATTGGTTAATGTCCGAGTTGCACCAGAGATTAAAGTGTGTAATGTTTTGAGTGCAATTCTCACACTCTGGCTTCTATGCTGAACTCAGTGTCAGAAATTTTTGTGAAGAGTCATGGGCTGTGCAAATCAGCTTGCTGGAAGTTTAAACTTCCAGAGCAATTACTGCACCCGTATATGTGTCGGTACTTCTGCAAGGTCCTGATGGACAAGACGGTACAGATTTCATTGCTCTGGACAGCTAAAGATTCATGCTTGGTTGTAAAGTTCCTTTCTGTTATATTTGTTCACAGGATGTGGGTGTTGCTGATTAGGTGAGCATTTATTGCCCTACCCTCATTGTCCAGAGACATTTAAAAATGGACCACATTGATGTGGATCGGGAGTCACATGTAGGCCAGGCCAGGTAATGATGGCAGATTTCTTTCCCTAAAGAATCAAGTAGATTTTTACAACAATTGACAATGGTTACCATAAGACCATAAGACATAGGAGCAGAAATTAAGCCATTCGGCCCATCGAGTCTGCTCCACTATTCAATCATGGCTGATAAGTTCCTCAACCCCATTCTCCCGCTTTCTCCCTGTAACCCTTGATCCCCTCAATAATCAAAAACCTGTCTATCTCAGTCTTAAGTGTACTCAATAACCTGGCCTCCACAGCCTTCTGTGGCAGTGAATTCCATAGATTCACCACTCTCTGGCTGAAGAAATTTCTCCTTACCTCCGTTCTAAAAGGTCTTCTCTTTACTCTAAGGCTGTGCCCTCGGGTCCTAGTCTCTCCTACCAATGGAAGCATCTTCCCAACATCCACTCTGTCCAGGTCATTCATGGTTACATGGTTGTGGTTGTGACTGGGCTAGTTTATTATTTAATTCAAATTTTGCCATTTACCATGGCTCCAGATTGCTGGTTACATGTTTAGTTGGTTACAACTAAACAGCACATGGACTGCATTGGTTCAAGAAGGCAGCTCACCATCACTTTCTCAAGGGCAACATGGATGGACAATAAATGCTGGTCCAGCCAATGTCACCCACATGCCATGAGTGGATTTTAAAAAATGATCCCCATACACCAATCTCCTTATGTCCTGGCTAACTTACTCCTCAGCCAACACCACCAGACTAACTGGTTATTTCTGCTTGTTACACCTTACTGAGTGCAAATTAGTTGCATTCACTTTAAAAGACATTTATTGGCTATGAAACATGTTGTTAGAGGATGTGTAAAGTATTGTCTAACAGCAAAGTTGTTCTTTAAGCATCCTTTTATCTTAATTTGGAAGTTTATCTGTGAAAATAAATCACTTCAATACCCATCTATAACAATCCTCCTTGTGTCTGTCCCTGATTAATCCATTGTAAATCAGAGGTAAAAGTTTGTTCACCTGGATTGAATTATGTGTCTATTTTCAGTGAACAATGTTTAGCTGAAGAAACCTCATTTGGAATAAAGGCCAGTCAATATCAGCAAAGCAAAAACTTCTAGGAAATACCACAACTGAACTCTAACTCATTCTTTTGGAGTTATCTTTTAATCGTAAAGCTTTAAAAAAAAAGAATCACGCTCAGATTACTGTTGGTGATGGCGCAAAGAAATGAGACTTGAAAAACAAGCAGATAGAGGAAGGTCAGACTTTAGTGCAAAGTGCTGCACTGTTATTACAGGGAACTATAGTTCGATTCCCCTATTCTATCTTTAATCTTTTTCCACAAAAAGGACAAAATATACAGAGACCAGAATTGGACAAATTGTCTTATTTGGAAGGTGGATGCTTAAAAAAAATCTAACAGCATAAAGCTAATCAGCTGAAACGCGAAACTGATAGTGCTAACATAAATGAAATTCTTGTCTGACACCCTCCAGAAAAGAAACATGAATTTAACACTTGGATGTGTGTCTGGTTCCCATTCCCCCCTCTTCCCGCACAACTGCCCTCTTCCTGATTTTGGCTTTAAAACAAAAAGAAATTTACCCGGATTTTAAGCAGTGTGATATATAGCTCGAGCATTTTATATATTGGAGGGGTAAAGGTAAATTCTTGTGCCGACCAAATCACACTTTACACATAACAGTGGCAACCGCCAGAACAAACGCCTGGAAATTCACTAAATGCTGCGGACCAACCGAGATTGTGCGGCACTGCTACAGCGGCACAGACTAGATCCACCAACGGTCAGAGTTAAAATGCAAACGGTGAAACACTGTCTTCTCTGAAGTGTCAGACAGCTACTTTGATGACAGGAAACTCCATACTCGCAGAAACCTGCCCAGTCTAACAGAATTTCTATCAGATTTAAGAGTGGAATCGGTTTGATTAGATCACACCCAACTGACATTTTAACATTTCGGTAAACAGGGCTTTGCTACAAACTACTAAACAGAATAACAAAAGAAGCACTCACCATTTTACCGTAATAATTGATTCACTTCCCTTCTGGTGACCGTATTGTAGTCTCCTAATTTGGAGATTGTTCCACAATCCACTTCTAAGGTCTGTTTAAATCAGCATTTTATTCTTAAACAGTCATCTCATCATTTCTGGTAGCGGAGTACCTGCTAGCGGGCTGGTTATTTGTGCAGTATACTGCAGTGCGCTGTTCCTTTCTGACTTCCTCGTTTTTGATATATGCAGTTATCCATTAGCAGATGATTGGTAGTTGAAGGGGCACTTTCAAAAGAACTAGATGCTGACACAAAAAATGCAGTTCTAATGATAGACAAACGAATAAACTAAAATGTTATGGTATATGTAAAACGCAAGGGATCATTTACGAGAGCAGAAGGTCGACTCATGTTTGGAGGTTTTGCAGGTTTTAATTGCCGTGCGAACTTCTGAAAGATACAACAAGTTCTCACGTTCTGTACATTTCACAAAAGGCAAGTGTTCCAAGTGGACAGTGCGTCCTATACCCACCTCCCCTTTGATCTTACACACAAACTTCTTGACAAGATTCAGCATCATGTTGAATACACCATGCTGGTACAAGCAGATCTTCTGATACTAATTTCAAGGATTGAATCATGAGGAGGAACTGGACCCACGTTTTGCGCTATAATTTGATAGAGGTTACAGTCTTATGATACTCACTGTTATTTAAGCGCAAGCACTGCCCCAGTTTGAGGCAGGGACTGATGCTCTGTTAAAAGCCAAACTCTGAAAGCAGGAATCAGAGACATGCAGAACTTTCCACCATTACTTTTGTGCAAATGCATCTTACTCACCATGGATTGGCATTGGGTGGTGCAAAATTACTTCTTACACCAAAGTACAAAGTTAGACACCTACAGCAGTGAAACAAGCCATTCAGCCCAACTAGTCTGTATTAGTGTTTATTTTCCACAGCAGTAGCCTTCTTATTCCATCTGACTCATATTAGCATTTCAGTTTATCTTTCTACTCTCTTTCCTTACATTTCATTGAACTTCCTTTTGAAAACATGTTAACTATTTGTCTCAACCACTTCCTTTTGCAGCAACTTCCACATTCAAACTACTCTCTGGGTAAAGACATTTTTCCTTATTTCATTATTGGATTTATAAGCAGCTATCTTGTATTAATAGCCTTTAGTTTTGGATTCTCTGACAGTGGAAACATTCTGTTGACATCTACACCACCACCCCCAATGCACTCATTCATAATTTTAAATCTCTCAATGAGGATTCCTTCTAAATCTTTGCTCCATCTTGTTCAATCTTCCTCAAAAGCCATAATCTCTGACATTATCCTTGTAAATCTTTTTCCACACTTTTTCCAGTGCTTCAATGTACATGGTGAGGCCACTTTTAGAATACTGTGTACAATTCTGGTCATCCTTCCACAGGAAGGATGTTGTTAAACTTGAGCAGTTGCAGAAAAGATTTAGAAGTTTGTTGCCAGGACTGAAGGTTTTTGAGTTATAAAGAGATGCCAAATAGGCTGGGGCTATTTTCCCTGGGGCATCAGAGGCTGAGGGGTGACCTTATGGAATTTTATAAAATCATGAGGGACATGGATAGGGTGAGTAGCCAAGGTCTTTCCCCTGGAGTAGGAGAGTCCAAAACTAGAGGACATAGGTTTATGGTGAGAAGGGAAAGATATAAAAGGGACCTAAGGGGCAACTTTTTCATGCAGAGTATGGTGCATGTATGGAACAAGCTGCCAGAGGAAGTGGTGGAGGCTGGTACAATTACAACATTTAAACAGCATCTGTATGGGTCCATGAGTGGGAGGGGTTTAGAGGGATATGGACCAAATGCTGGCAAATGGGGCTTGATGAATTTAGGATATCTGGTCAGCATGGATGAGTTGGACTGAAGGGTCTATTTCCGTGCTTAACATGTCTATGAGTCTCTGACTCTAAAATGGCAACCAGAATTGTCCACTGTTGTAGATGCAGCCCATCTAGAATCATATACAACTTTAGCATAGCGTCCCTGCTACTGATTTCAAACTAACTCCAAGCTGGTTTTAGTATTTTAATTGCTTTTCTGCTCGATGATGCTGATTTTAATGACTTGTTCAGAGGTACATTCATATCCCTTTCCTGTTCAGTTTTGTGTTTACTCAGGTGATGTTTCTGTTTATACAAAGTTTCAGTCAGGCAGCAGACTCAAATATAATTCCTAGCAGTGGGCAAGCAGCCTCTGGAGGGGTCACAAGTAACATTTCTTGCCACCAGCATTAAAATAAGGCCAGAGGTTGAATATCAGATGAGCCTCTGACCTCAGCTTCTGTTACACTCTGGATTTCGACCCCATTAGCTCTGCAGGATTCAGCATGCAATTCTTCACAAATTTTACTTGGATGTAAATTTGAACAAACATCATGACAGCAATTTAAACTCTGTCATTCCAGTCCAAGTACCTTTTGTGGTGATGTGTTAATTACTGCTTTTCAGGCTTTCTGTGCTAAGCTGTAACAAATATCAGTGTGGATTCTCATTCCTTCGGATCAGAATTGGTGTAGATTTTTATTTAAAATGCAGTCATTTTAACTTTTCATTTCCATTTCTTTTCTCTCTCCTAATTCAATCTTTCTTTATATCTCTCCCTGTACATAATTTGATATTGGATTCACATCCACTCTAATTTACAAAAAAAACCCCAAAGAACTGTAGATGCTGGAAATCAGGAACATGATCACAAATTACCAGAAAAACTGTGGTCTGGCATCATCTGTGAAGAGAAAGCAGAGTTAATGCGAAAGCAGAGCGGACGAAGTGTCATTGGATCCAAAGCATTAATTTTGCTTTCTCTCCACAGATGCTGTCAGATCTGCTAAGTTTTTCCTATAATTTCTGTTTGTGTTTCAAATTACTCAGTCTTCTTAGTTGTCATGCTAATTTTTAAATCTGATTAGTAAGGGAAATACACAGTTTCTTTCCTAGTTGACTAATGTTCAGATGCGCTACTTTTGCTTATTGCAGTATAAACAGATTGCAATTCCAGAAACTGCCAGGCAAAATCAATTAAACCAAGACTTGCGAGGTCAAGTCAATATGGTTATTGGTACCAAATTAGGTATTGGTTATTGGTTGTTCTAGCAAATTGTAAACTATTAGCTGTTCAGCCAAGAGGGAAACAATTGAAAAGTGATTTTATGGAGATATTAAATGGGCACTACCTGTGAGATCCTGGTCAGTCTGCACCACCACACTCTGCCCTGAAATGTCCTGTGCCTTTGCAAAGGATGTCTGAAGAAAGATCCAGTGGATTTTGGTCCAGGTTCGTCCCGAGCAGCTCTGTGATGCGGAACTCTGTGCTCTATGGTCTGTTCCCAGGGATGCACACCTAGACAAACATCAAATGCACCCGGAGGACCATCAACACAGTGAAAGATGCTCTTTGGTCAGCCTGAAATTTGTTGGTCTTCCAGTACAAGGAGTTGGCCTTGACTGAGTGATGCAGACTGGCACATTACAAGTCCAGGATTATGTGCTGTGGGATGCACTAAAGCTTGGGGCAGCTGCAGCCAAGGCGCAGTCGAGAAAGATCACTGTCTGAGGTCTTCCTGCTGAACTCAATTGGGAGTTTGTTCAATTATTGCACCCTCCTTGAACCTCAATGCATGTAAATATAGTCTTGTATATGTAAGAGATGCCTTTGGTTTGTTGAGATAGAGTCAAACTCAAATGTTTGCTTGTTTACTTAATATTCTACTGTACAGAACCAAACTGCATTTGTGACATTGTATATCTACAAAGAGATGTTTTATGAATAAAGTACAGTTTTGAAATTAAAATAAGTGATTTTATAGAGGTACATAATGTTAAATGAATGAAAATGAACACTAATGTTGCTCAAAACAAAAATGTGGAAGTAAAATAAGGAGAATGCAGGTTCAATTGAGTCAAAAGCATTCTTTGGGCCAATATCTGGAAGTTCTGTCTTTCATACAGTGATCAATATGTGTAATACATCTCCGGAGAGTATAGTATAAGAAAAATTCCTGGAATCAACTGAGAAGCAATTACATGCTATGACAGGATGATCTTAGGAGCTTTCTGTGTGGATAGATGGATAAGTTGAGAGACATAATGTGATGTCAATATGAAATCGTAATGGTAATTTTTCAAAAATAAAGCAACCCACCTAAAATAAAAATGGGAGATGTACATGTTATTAGAGAAAATCTGTTACTAATTTATGTGAAGTATAGCGATATACAGCATGCTTGATAGAGAACAACCAACAGATTCCAGAATCTTGGAGCACAAGATCCTCAAGACAATATCCTTGGCCTAAACATTTTAAATTGACAGAAAATTCTAAGTGGCCTTGTTCACTAATGATTCTTTAGTGTTCAAATGTGTTTAAGGTTCACCTAAATTGTCCATGCCAGCTTATAACAGAACCTGGATAATACCCAGGTTCAGATTTACAAGTGACAGGCAACAATTAGTTGCAAATAAAGGTACAATACTGCAGATGCTGGAAATCTGAAACAAACAGAGAATACTGAAAAAACTCAGCAGGTCTGGTGGAGTGAAATAGAGTTAACCTTTTGAGCCCAGCCTGACTTATCTTCAGAAGTTTTATACTTTAGAACAAATACTCTATGTAATCGCTGGAAGTGATAACTTTTGACATGAAAAATCCATGTCTTTCTCTCTGAGCTTGACTGGCAAAAATAATACTGAATGCCTCAATGTCAGCTCCTGTGGACAGTTGGCATTGACCAGAAACTTTAAAAGGCCAACCATATCAATATTGTGGTTACAAGGGATTGGTAGGGAATAGAGATAGTGGTCAGTGGAACAGTAATACAGACACCCATGTTAAGGGGGTGGGTGTTGCAGGCGGGGGTGTGGAGCTTGCGGAGGGGAGTGGGGGTATTGGAATTCATAGGTTCAAATCCCAACATTGCTGTGTTAGCTATTTCAGCCATAAAATCTAGTTAGTCTCAGTAATGGTGACCATGAAACTATCATTAATTGTAGCAAAAACCCACCTGGTTCACTAATGCCCTTGAGAATAAGACATCTGCTGTCCTTTATTGAATGGCCTAAATGTATCTCTGCACCCAAGAAATGTGGTTGGCAAATATCCACCCTTCCCACTCAGTTCAAGCCACAATTAGGGATGGGCAATAAATGCTGGTTTTGCCTGTGACACCCACTAAAGGGGGGAAAAAATTGCAGGCAGAGTGGCTCACCACCTAGTTGCTTTT